AAGAATTTGATCAAAAATTTTACATGGTCTGGAATATAATTAAAATTATTTTAACACCACCGCGACTTATTCACCCCATCAAAATGGCATGGCTGAACGTAGAGGGTTTTTTCCGTCCAACGCCTTCATGGCTTCCGCCAGGTCGTTATACACATTCAATCGCAGCAAAAAGATGAATTGTAATTATCATGCAAGGCTGTCTACTTGTCGATAGCCACAAAAGTATTGGTAGTGGACCTGTACGCAGTCCAGCGAGTTGTCCCAGCAAGAAACCAAAAAAAAACACAATCAGAAACAAAAGAAACCAAACAAACAAAAAAACACACAACCACAACCAAACCAAAAACAAACAAAACACCGAGAAGTGGGATCGCTACCAGCAATGGGAATAAGATGCATGATGATATCTTGTGTGTCATAATGAGTATGGCCACCGAAAAAGAAATAAAACAAAGAAAACACAAGAAACATACAAAGGGGCCAGGTAAGAGGGTGAGAACCAACACAGCTCAATGCGGAAACCAGGGATCCCCCCAGCCAGGATCCCCGAGATCCTGAACGTAGAGGGGGAGTGTGGAAAAACACATTTTTGAAAATGGTTGAGATTATGTCCCCGACTAGTAGGCATGAGGTGGATGAAATTGTTGACCAAATCAATTTCGCTGTCAATATTTTTCCGAGAATGAATGGATATTCCCCCCATCAACATGTTTTTGGGAAAAAGCATGGGATCCCCGGAAATTTGGAGCTGAGAGATAACAGGACAAGACCTATTCGTGGATCGTATAATCCTGGGGGCGTGGTTTATTTTTGGAGAATGTGGCCTAAAGAAAAGAAGGCTAGTTGGCACGGATCTGAGACTGTTGTGGGGTATCATGATGGTAAGTCTAAGTTGTAGGTTGCAAGTGGAATGAAAATATATAAATATAATTCCGAACAGCTTAGGAGGATTAGCCCTGAATAAGAGAATTTGATTCGAATAATACCAGAAGATTTGTTGGGAATCCGAAAGAATATTCAAGGTCGTGGCCCGGGAAACTACATGGATCTGTCAACGCAGTCAAAGCCATCTGAAACAGAACAGGAGAGCGATCACATGGAGTTGAGTCTGGATCGAGATGTGGTTGGTTTGGGTGACGGTTCTGTTAGGAATAGAAGGGTTAGGTTTAAAATTGATAATAATATGGATATGGAGGTACCAACCCCTCCCTCAGGGGAGCCGGACAACGCTGGTGTAACATCACCATATGAATCTGAATTACCTGTGGAGACTCCACAGGGAATGCATGCTCCTACTGAGGCAATAACTGAGAGCTTGGATAGTGATGAACCACAGCAAGAGCCAGGGCAAGCTAACCCCTCTCCGGAGGGCGGAAATGAGGTTGAAGTTAATCTTCCCTTTCCGGAGGCCGTTCAGACATCAGGTGAGTTTGGACCGATGAGAACATAAAATGCATTGATGACCGTATTGAGACAAAACACAAACATGTTGGAGTTTGGAGGACCTATCAGAAGACAAGAATCATAACAAGAACATGGTCATGAGGTACACATGCATGAAAAACGTAGACGTAGGAAAGCGGTTTTGAGAAAGAATTGAATGCATGTCATGACATGAGTCTTCGTAGGGTCAAAAAGAAAGAATGGAACAAATTAATCTCAAGTGGGGCTGTTCGTGCGCTTAGGAAAGAGGAAAATGAAAAGATTAGAAAGGATCAATATCTTTGTAGTAGGATGTTTAAATCTAGATTCGTGCTGACCAAGGCTGACGAAGCAGAATTGAGTCCTAGTATCGAGATCAAAGCAAAATGGTGTATCCGGGGATATTTGAGTGCAGAAGGGGCAATCATAGCACTTCAGAACATGGCAAATCATCAATGGGATCTACAAATCTGTGACGTCGAAGGAGCATTCTTGAGAGGAAATGATCTACACCGCCAGTAAGGACGGGTATTCGTAAGTCAACCACCTGGAGGACTGGAGGACCTGGAACCGGGGGTTCTTATCGAAGCTGTGAAGGCAGTATATGGGTTGGCTGATGTACCGTTAGCTTGGTATGAATTATTTTCTAAAATATTTCTGGAATTATAATGTCGTAGATCTAAATTTGATGGATGTGTGTATTATTCCTATTCTACTGAGAATCCAAAACGAGTGATTGGAGTAATTGCACTTCATGTTGACGACATGTGTCTTGGTGGAAATAGTAAGTTTACAGAACACATCTTGAAGCCCCTGAAAGAGAAGTACCCTTTTAAATATTGACATGAGAAGAAAGGTAATTTCCTGGGTAGGTGGTTGGAATTGTTGCCTAATGGGGACATTACCATTCAACAAATTGAGTATGCTAAGGGCGTGAAGGATATTGAGATCTCACCACAAAGAAAAAAGGAGAGAAACTTTCCGACTACCGAAGATGAGAAACGACAAATGAAAGCTATTTTGGGGGCAATCAATTGGTTGATGACCGGGAGTAGGCCAGATCTTGTTGCGGGATGCTCATTGCTGCAACAAAGAGTGGCCAAGTCGGTAGTGGAGGACATATGTGACGTAAATCGATTGGTCAAAAGTATACCTAATAATATTCCCATAAAGATTAAAAGCAAGGGTATCAAACCTCAGAATATTAGGTTTCTGTCAGTTTCTGATGTTGTATGGGCCAATACGGATAAATTTTGTTCACAAGTGGGGTATATGATAGTTGTTGTTAACAAGAAAATCATGAGATATATTTTTACTAAGATGGAAAAATTACAAACAAGACAGGAGGACACCCTCCACACTGGGAGCAGAATTATTTTATCGAGGTTTCTAGCTAAAACTAGATGGATGAAAAATATGTAGATAGAGGCAAATTATACAGATTACAAGATTTCAAAGGATTCCAAATAATACAATCTACATTATTATAAATAATAAAATTGTTTAACCACACCAATTCCAGCCATAATACCAACATCAAGAACAAACATGGACAAACGACATACCATCGAGATGTTCATTATAAAAAATAATTTGCTTGCATATAATATATATTTGAAATAAATAGTTATATATCAAATGATTGGGGATATTTTGACTAAGCGAGGTGTTCCTGTGGATTTGTTGTTTCGTGTTCTTGAATGGGGTAAGTTTGTTGTAGTTAAAAATAAATCCATTGGTAATAAAATAGAGAAAGTAAAAAGAAACTATTTTAGGGGTGTATAATTTGTGTTGTTATTTTTAACCATTTCCTTTCATTTTATTGTTTGTGTAATAGTTTGTTAGCTACCAATAATACTCGGAATCACAAATCCCCCCTTAATATATAAAAATTCATAAGGAATATGTCAAAAGGAAAAATAATAGGTGTTATTATAATTAGAAATTCGTAAATTACCACCTAAAACAAATTACAAAAAATAAAAAAATATTTAATTTTCGAATATAATAATATATATAATATATATTTTACAAAATTATTATATTTAATAAAAATAAATTATTTAAAAATTATTATTATATTTTTTATTTTATTTTTTTTAAAAACATATTTAATTTAATAATTTTATTTCAACATATTTATTATTTTATTATTCTATATATTTAAATTATTGTATATAATTTTTAAATAAAAATATATAATTTATATTTTTTTATAAATTATAATATAATATATTATATTATATTATATTATATTATATTATATTGTATTATATTATATTATATTATATTATATTAAATATATTTTATTATTCTATATTAAATATATTATATTAAATTAAATTATAATTATAATTATATTATATTACAATATATTACACTATACAATACACTATACAATACACTACTTACACTACTTACACTACTTACACTACTTACACTACTTACACTACTTACACTATTTACACTACTTACACTACTTACACTACTTACACTACTTACACTACTTACACTACTTACACTACTTACACTACTTACACTACATACACTACATACACTACATACACTACATACACTACATACACTACATACACAACATCAACAACAACAACAACATCTACAACAACATCTACAACAACATCTACAACAACATCTACAACATCTACAACTACAACTACAAATACAAATACAACTACAACTACAACTACTTTACGCTACACTACACTACAGCACACAACACTACAGCACACTATACTACACTAAACTACACTACAGCACACAACGCTACAGCACACTACACTACACTACACTACATTACCTTACACTACACACACTACACTAAGTACACTACACTACAACTGCAACTACACTACAACTACGACTACAACTGCACTACACCACACTACATCCAGCAGTTGTTGGTGGGGTGACCACTGCAACTATTGCAATCACTCCAAAAATCAAAATTCCAACCACCTTTCGGCCCATCAGTGGATTGGCTCTGCCATCCGTAATTCACGACAACCAACCTCTCCTATAGGTTTCTTATTTTTGAAATTTCCGTCACCGCCTTGCGCGGTACTGCTAAAATTAATTAACATGAAAAAATAATTTAACATTTTTAACGGACCGGATAACCCCACAAGTCAACTTCTTCCAATAACGACCAACAAATAAATGTTGTAGCGGGTAGCGGGGACGGGGAAGGAAGGAAAGACAAAGGAGGTGGTGGAGGATCGAGAAGTAAAAAAAGTTGTGTGTGTGACAAAGTTGTATGTGAAAGATGGTGTGTGACAAAGAAAGATGGTGTGTGACAAAGAAAGATGGTGTGTGTGACAAAGTTGTGTGTGAAAGATGGTGTGTGTGAAAGTTGTGTGTGAAAGAGCGAGGCGGAGGCGGGATACAGAATCAAAAACAAGAACCCCACACAAAGATGTGGGGAACAACAGGAGTCAACTGGGCATTGTTCACTCCTCCAGATGCTAACCACAACTATGCGGTATACCATGTTTTACCGGTATACCCAATACAAGAAACCTCGATGATAGCGACCATTTCTGGTGAAAATTAGGGACGGTCTACTCTTTGCCACGATCCTCTCGCGCATCGAGATACGAGCTGCGACACGAAGTCACACAGAGATAGCGGCACCTTAGTGAAAGCCGCGCTGAGACCCTGAGCTCTCAACTCAGGGACAAAGGATAGTGGTGAGTTGGTGATACAGCAATTACTACTGTAATGGTAGAACTGAAATGACACTCAGGTATGAATTGCGTTTCATCATCATCATCATCATCACCATCATCATCATCATTTTCGGGCGTGACTGGCTGAAAGGAAACATCCAAACTATAGGCCCTACTCAGAGCCCCTTGGGCCATCCCCCAAGCTGCAGACAGCTCAGTCCATCCTTGCTCCGCAGCCAACATCAGCAGAGTCTGTCCATCATCAAAGAGCGCCGTAGACAAATCAACTCCCAGCTGACAAAGGCCTCAAGATATACGGCAGCATGGGGTGGAACAAATCCACAAGTCATCAAACCATGGATTCAAGCGAAATCTGGAAAACAAACAAACGATTGAAACCAAACCTCAGCTTCTTGGGATTCATCAACTCTCAACATGTGATTCATGTGATTGACATGGTCAAAGAACGTCAATGGTCGATGTTGTCCGTGAAACCGGTGAGAATCACCATGCTCAAGCAATTTCACCAGAAATCCCCTTGTATGTTTGGTGTCATGATGGGAGTATTTGAACTTTCTGGGGAAATCAGAATACAATATAATTTACTGTATAGTTGGAATACTTGGAATATTTTGGCATCTCTTGGAATCTCTTGGAGTATCTAGGAATATCTCTGGAATATTTTGGAATATGTTGGAATACCTTGGAATGTTTTGGAATATCTTAAAATATGTAGGGATTCAGCAGGTCTTCACTGCTCCACCTGCTGCTCTGCGGGCCATTCGGGCCATTTCCACGTCGGCGCCCTCGCCGCTGTCTGTCGCGTCCGGCGCTGCGGTGGTGGCTCTGGGGGTGCAGGTGGCCGCCACCAATCGCGGCGCTGCCTTCCCAGGATCTTCGGGCATTTGTTGAATTTAGGTTGATCCTGTGATGATATTAGTTAACCCACTTAGTAATGTTAGGCCAATATATAAATATATAATATATTTGGATATTTGCTCCTGTCCCACGAAACTTTAGTTAGGTTGATGGTAAAATCCATGTTAGTAAATCTCAAGGTGTACAGCCTACCACCAATGTGTAAACCATAAGTCGGCCCAACGCACTTTCAACAGCACTTGAGCCAAAAGTAAGGTGCCGAGGCAAAATGATGTGAAACTGCATGCAACCTATGTCATTCAAGAGGAGTAACTTTACAGAATGTATAAGGAGGGTCACCTCATGTGGTTTTCAACAACTCCCCCCTCTCCAATTGAATGACAGGGAAAACAACGCTGTGGCCCTAAATGCAATTTCGGTGTGCACCACACGGGTGCAAACAATTGCAAGAACTAGCTGCTACCTAAGATCCTACGGATACTGTTGAGCGAGTCAGCATCACCTGCTTCAAGATAGATTGCCATTCCTGTGGGGGAATGATTTTTGTGAATCCATTTGCACGTTGTTCTGCTGATGGGCAATAAAGTGCTTCCACTTCATCTTCCTCCAGCACTTCGCACAAAGAAGCCACATTTACTTTGTGAACTCTACCAAGATGCCTCAAACGAGCTGAGTACTTATTTTTCAAGATCTTAAGAACAGCATCATTGTCCTGGTGGAATTTTACTTGGATTGGTTTTTGCATGAGGTATTCAAGGAATATTTGCAAATTCAAGACTTCTCCGAACATCCCTGTAGCCATAGAGATGATTTCGGATTCTGTCGTTGAACGAGCTACACTGGCCTGTTTCTTGGCCTGCCAGAACACAGGAAAACCAGCTTTACCTGTTGTTACCTGAATCCATAGACCACTGGTGCTCTTTGCCGAGTGCTGACAACTGGCAAAGTCAGCGTCAGTGTAGACATCCAAGATGGGAACCTCATTATGATCAACCTTGCCTTCAAGTACAAAATCTTTTGTGCAATTGATGTATGAAATCACGCGATGAAGTTGGCGATCTTCAAAGCGAGTCCATGATGCCACTCTACTGGCCAGTCGCACGGTTATGAAAGAAAGGTCGGGTCTCGCTAGGCGAGCCAGCCATAGTACACGCATTAGGACGCGTGATGCATCCTTCTGCAACTCTCCTGCCTGAGACAAATCTTCATCAGTACAAGTTTCTGGCAGTGAGGGTGTGGGCACATGTTACAACCGTGTTCGTTCGAAGCCAGTGATATTGCAATAGGCATCAACAACACCGTCTGCATAAGATTTCATATCGAAAATGCAAGTTGTCTCCTTTTCATTTTGTTGAATGAAGTGACGCCTACCAAGGATAAGAGTTCCAGTCTTACCATCGATACTTGCTTCATCTCGAGCTTCACGTCCTTTCGAAGATGCTTCCAAAAATCAGGATGGCAACATGTCGGACCACACAATGTTAAGTCATCTCCATAGACATTCAACAAGAGTGTGTAATGTTTACCATCCTTTATCCAAGGAACCAAGTAATTTGATGGATATTGTGGGACTTCCTCCGCTCCAAGTGCCTGCAGGTGCTTGTGAAGATGATCTTGCCACCATCTTCCGGCTTTTGGATGCCCATACAAGCTGCGTCTTAACTTCACACAAATTCGGTCATTTTTGTTGAACATTTTGAACCATGAATCCAACCAAAGTTCAACTGGTAACACAACCCATGTCTCTTCACTGTCATCAAGCATCGACTGTAGGAATGCCTGAACAGCATCTGCACATGATGCCGAATGCCCTGGCAATGACGCAAACCACAATGCAATGTTGAGTGCAATTAGTGAAGTTGGAGTTGTGGCAGTTTCTTCAAACATCAGGATGTTGTTCCATGCGTCTCTGACGATGTCACCACGGTAACAAATCCTCCCTTTCCACTTCCAGTGCTCGGGAGAGAGCTCATGATGTTTGATTCCACAGAGTGTCAACAACTCTGCCAGTTTGATTTGAACACCCTTTTTCCTAGCATCAGTTTTCAGAGTTGAAACGAGTTGGACAGTGTTATCGTCCCAAGTTCCATTCTTTCTGAGTCCTTCTGCCTCCTTTTTGACTGCTTCAACCCCTCTTGGATCATTCAGCCAAGTGCTCTTCGGAAGGTTCAGAGTAACTAATGCCGGGATGCTCTTGTACCATAACTGGGGATACCAACACTCCATGAGAACCTGTGCTAGCTCTTTTGCGTAAAAGGCTGACAGTTTGGCGTTCTTGCCCATTGTATCTTCATGAGTGTGGTCTCCTGGACAAACATATTGTGAAAAGAATTGGATACTCCTGATATCATTTGTGTATAAACACCACGGTTTTCTCAGCGGTACACCGGATGAACTTTTCAAACCAAGTGCACATCCATCGAATACAACCCATTTTAAGTTATAATCACTTGCAAACTGCTTCCATTCGTCCAGCTTCCAAATGCCTGATTCCTTCGGCAACTCAAAAACTATCCTACCATTATTGTGCATGATGTTCATGGCGAACTGAATGGCGTATGCAAGCATAACTTTTGTTTGGGCTCTGCGAGCTTCGAGTTTTCGCTGATATGATTTGCCATGGATATGGATGTTCAGATTTTGGATGGGTGAGTAGTGGGTGCAATCTATGCTAACCCATGCATCGGAACCTGGCAGTGCATCGGCCTGTTCGGTGGCCTGAATCACATGATCTTGATTGCACAAATCCAGCGTGGATTTACCAAGCCGAACGCACTTGACATTTGTCTCCTGAGCTACTCTTCCAATGATAGAATCATCTGAACATGCATATTCAAACAACACATTCTTACCTGAAAACGAACCACAACGTCTAGTCATGTTTCTTTCTCGGTTGTCTTGCAAAAATGTGTCATCCAACAAAAGTTCTGCACCCCCCCTGGCAGCTAACGCTCTGCCCTCCGTCTCTTCTGGCGGGATACCAGCACTAAACGGAAGCTCATCAGGATGAACTGGTGCCTCAGGAGCATCAAATTCAAACTCTGGACCTGGTGTCTCAGAAGCTGGAAGTTCTGGGGCTGGTGTTGAAGGTGCAATACTTCTGGCTTTGGCAGTGGATTTTGATGCATCAATTTTGTCAGCTTTTATCAAACCATCAAATCGAGCACGACAAGCTGGTGTATGCTTGCCCTTCACATTTTCACATGCACGACAAGCTGGAGACGGACCGTATTTTATGATGCGATCAAGGGTGATGTACTCATGCCTTTCGCCTGCCCTAGCATCTCTTGGAAGCTCAGAGAATGGGACCTCAATGGGTTGAATGTCCTCTGGCGATGGCTCGGTAAACAAACTCAATGCACGATCAGCTGCAGCTTTGAGAGGTATCACAGGAGGGCCATCTGGCACATACACTTCTTCTAAGGGAACAGCCAATGCAATCTGATACCCTGGGGTTTGTTGTTTGATTGCATCGTAATCCAAAACGTAGCACACACCTTTGTAGGACTTTGGTCCAGAATCAAACCTCCAACCGGCAAACAAAGCTGGGGCAGCTGATGCCTCAAACTTGTGTCGACTAGCTCGATCCTTTCTGGCATATACTAGTTGTCCAAGGATTAACTCCTGACCCTCAAAAGGTTTTCCTGTTGCCAACTCAAAACGATTGTGTGATTTGCCCTCTGCATCCATTTTGGGGTGATAGGCATTAAACACAATTGCTGCGTATGCGACTGAGTGCTGCCACAAATCTCGATAGATGTGGAAGCCAGCACCTACATGCACTGCTCTGGCAATTTCTTCGAGTGTCCTGATTTCTCTCTCCAGGACTGAGTTGTGGGGAAACCTTTTGGCCAATGTCGGTTCATGGATGAACCCTAGTGCGGAACAGGCTGCATTGAACTCACGCGCGTTATCACTCTTGCACATGATCAATTGGAATACTATGGTAGTAGGGTCCAAGAAATGCTAGCAAATGACGCGTTACGGAATCGGAGTTATGTTTTGCACTTGGGCAGGCAAACAAGTATCCGCTGTATTCATCACGTACAACTTGCACATAAGATTCATTGGTTCCATCTGATGATTTTGCAACGATTATAAAATCAGAAGCAATTCTCTCACCAAAACCTTTGACCTCAGGCAGTGCTCCACGGTCACTCAACGGATCCAAACGAGTTCGAACAGTGCGGCGTTTGTACATGCGACTTCGCCTGCAAGTCTCACAGTATAGATTCTTCAGCATATGACAAAGCCGATGCTGAAGTGACATGGACTCCCTCAACAACTGCTCCTCCCTACCAACAAACTCTTCATCAGTTTCAACTTCTAGATGTCTATCCTCGGGAAGTTCTGGCTCTGGGTCTGCCTCTTCCGGTCTAGCATCTGATGACGAAGCTGCTGGCATGGCAATGGATTCTGATATGTTTGGATGTAATTGAATGATTTCTTTGAAGACAGGAACATCATCAAGTCTGTCTGCCACAAGCTTTGACCCTTTACATCGAATGCTAACATCCGTCAAGCTATCTGCGAAGTAGGGAAGTTGGTTGGGAAGCCACATGAACGGTCTACCACTATCAACAATCTCACCCAAACTTCTAGCTATCGGGCGATCATCAAGCACGCGATGATCATGAGTACCAAACCGGTGACCGGTGACCATGAATTGAGATGATATGGTTACTATCAGTAGTTCCATTTCCTGTTTCAAATCTCAACGTGTCAGCTGATTGCAAGCTATGCTGAATGACATCTCCGGACAAACCCTGATCCTGCAAAGCACGGATGGAGCACAACGATCGGCTTGCACCTGAGTCGGCTATCCACGCAAGGGTTGTGGTCCCGGAGTTCCAGCTGGATGTTGCGAGACATGCTGATTCCGATGTCCTTTGGACTACAACTGGCAGACCTAGTGAGCCATTTGATGATGAAGTTGCAGAGATGTGCAAACAATCACCATCGGATGACCTTTGGCCAAATGGCATCACAAGATTCGAAACAGCTGTCAACATTGTCAATGCAAACTTGAAAGGAAGACACGCTAAACGAAGTGTTTCAGCAACGAATGACGTGTTGGTCTTGACAGCATTGGCACCCTGGCTTGCACTTGTCGCGATCAAAGTGGCAACGGTTGCCTTAGCTGCGGCTGGGCCTTTGGCCTCTGCCTTTGGTTTTGCCTTTGCTGGCGCTGCTTCATGAGAAAACGGACAGCTAGCTCCACGATTGCATGTGCCCTTTGGATAAAACAAACAAGGAACTTTTGATTTTTCCCGAGATCCCTCAGCTCTAGCCTTTGGCGGTGGGCCAGCTGGCGTAGCCTTTGGCTGCTTTGGTGGTGGATTACCTCCCTTTGGTTGGTTATCACCCTTTCCTTTCCCTTTTGCACCCTTTGAGTTATCCTTTGCCTTTGGCTGAGCTTTACTCTTAGGATTAACCGGCAATGCTGTCTGGGATTCAGTATCTGGAACAACAACCGCAGCCTTCGGCTTTGGCTTGTCCTTTCCTGCACCTTTGGAGTCATTCAGTTGCAAGGACTTTCGGATGGACTCTTCATTAGTGTCTTCCCTCATTTCATGGATGCAAGCTCGCAGCTTTTCGAACAACCAATGGAATGATCTCACATGAGAACCGGGTCGAGAATCACGAATCCTATCCACATGTCTCTGCATGACACGAACCTTTTTCATTCGAGAATAAAGCCATGTGTACTTTGTCATCTCTGAAGGTTGAAGCTCTGCCGGAATTGAGTTCAACACATACTCAACCCTGTCAACAAAAACTCTCGAACCATCATGTGAAAAATTGTTCAAATCCAATTCCAACAGACTTTGTTGCGTCAAGTTGGCACCCCTATTTTGATCAAGGAAAAACCGCTTTGCGATCATGTTCAACAAGATCCTTCCCAATGGCGCTCGACCTTGCATTTGTTCAGACTCGGCATAAGCCTGAAATGTGAGGCCCAACTCACCACGGAGATGACGAGGGTCCATTAGCAAACTTGCTAAGTGCGCATCAAGACGCGGCATTTCAGCTGAGGTGGCTTGAAGCATTTCCCGTGTTGTGTCTGGGGTAAATGCCTGGAGGAGCCATTGCAAAATACGATTTTGACCAGTTTTATCTATAGAAGATGCTTTGGTTAAAAACGAATTTCGCCATCCCCTGTACTGAGCTGCATCTGCTGGGAGGGTTTCGATTTTCACGAGTGAAAGGTCCTTGGCCTTATATTATCTGAGATTCATCATTGATCACGGTCGACCCAACACCTTGTGACCTTTGGCCTGGTGAATTACCACCATAAGGACTGAACCCCCCTGGTGGAGGACCTCCACCTGGTGTTCCACCCCCTGGCGAGTTACCACCCGGAAAGCCACCACCTCGTCTGCCATCCTCTGACGATGATGATCCCGATGAGTCAGATCCTGGTGGCTGCGGCGGCTGAGTCGGTGTTGAGATTGACCAAAAATCTGGACCGGATGTCTTGTGGATCGGAAGCGCTGGTGTTGGATGGGGGAAACCCGCACATGCAGACTGTGCTGGACTAGCAGGTTTAGCCATGGGGTGAGCTGGGTAACTCAATGATGGAGATTGCTTCATCAATGACAACTCGTTCCTAAGGCTCTGCACTTCCCTCATGATTGGACTCATATCAATTCCCGTAGCATTTTGGTCTTGTGCTGGAGGTGTTGATGTTGATTGTCTAAGCAGCGTCACTTGATGCTGCAAATCCAAAACCATTTGAGTCAAACCAGTATGTTCCTTCCGCTGATGCTCCAACTGGTCCGCTTGATTGCTGACAATTCCAAGAAGTTCATTCACTCGATCCTGGGCTAAACCTAGCTGGTGTTGAGAAGACTGGTAATCATCATGGACCCTTTGGGCTACCATCTGAACCTCTTCCATCTCCCTCCTATGCCTTTCCTCAAGTTGACTCATTAACCCGGAGGCTTGGGACTCAACCGATGCTATCTCACTTTGGGCTTTGGACTGAACTTCATGAACAATGGATTCAGCATGATGAACCGTAGCTTTCAATTGCATCTGGGCTTGATTAACCTCTGTTTGGGCCTGAGATTGAATCTGGTACACTTGTTCCCTAGCAGCACTAACCACAGCGTTGGCCTGTGACATGACTTCTGGAGTAATGCCAACATGCAACTGGCGTTGATCAACATTGATGGACCTTTGGTCGTACACATTCTGCTGAACATACTGCACTGGATCAACCTGTTGGAGGAACGAACCCGATGGCTGATCACTCTGAGAACCTGATGCACTATCACTCGCTCCCAAAACAGGTGAAAACCCTGGACCCCTGTGGGTGTGTGATCTCCCCTGCAACCCGGTTGGAGGTCTGGACGATGCACTGCTACTTCGTGAACTGCTTTCCCTAGAACTCTTGCAATTGGATTTCCGGACATGCAAAGCTCTCTGTGGTGGATTCTCAGGACTTTTTGTGGACACATGCAACGATGTTGAAGTATCATGTTGTCCCGAATCATCCATGAGTTCATCATTATGGTGGGTAAAACTTGTGATTTCCTGAATTTGTGGCATGTCTAAGGTGGAACTCACGAGCAAAATGCCCTTCAACCACTAGCGGATGGGTTCCATACCAAGCGACAATTGGTCTTTGCTTCTCTTTTGTTTTGGGATGGAGTTGCAGTTGTGCAAACAACCAAACCCGGATTCACACACAGCGATCTTTTGGACTCAACTCGGCACTGAGGAGGAATCACAAAGATACAAGGTCAGTTGAGGAATGGATGATTGTTTTTTTGTTTTGTTAATCCAAGAACTGATCAAAGATATTGAGTAATTCCCCAACAACCAACTGTGCTAATCTACCGCAGATAAGGCTGCTCGAGCTCGAGGATGTGCTCAAGGGCGGCAAAGATGTTGTCTCCGTACCAGACACCTTCAACCTCCCAATAATTCCTCCTCTTCGCCCGAACCCCAACCGGAATGATCCCTGAATAATCCTTCAGCTCTTTCAAGACGTCGTAACTGTCGTCGACGTGATACACACGAGATGGTCGAGATGACAGGCAACGATCTGAAATCACTTGGGACAAGCAAGCAAGCTTTCCTTTTGGGCCTGTTGGCTTATCCGAGATCAAAGTTGCGTTCCAATTTGGATTGTCCACACAAGCTATGCGAACACGCTGTCTCGTTGCCTCCTCGTGGCAATACGAGCACACCAAGATCTGGAATGGACTACCAAGTAAGGCACCTACAGCAGCTTGAACACGTTGATCAATCTGGCCAGCTGGATCTAATCGAAGGACCCTTGTTCGGCTCAGAACAGCTTTGTCCAAGACGTTGTGATAATCGAGACTGATGATGGGCTGAAAACTCAACCTCCTACTCAGGCCAAACAATTCAGCTCCTGCAGGCAAGACTCCCAAGTCCTGGGCCACAAGAATGTTGAGATCAACCTGAGGTGCCTTTGGCACTGGCTCGAGAATCACAGTTGGGACCACTCTTCCACTGGCAATTGCTGGGACTGAGGCCGGCTTTCCAAGCACAACACGAGACTCTGGCTTTGCCTTCGAGGTCGGTGCAAGAAATGATGTGGCCTTTGGTGCAGCTTTCTGCTTGGGTGTTGATGGCGGTATCAAGGGCGGTGGTTTAGATGATGGCTTTGCAACGCTTGGAGTTTCAACTGATGCTGGGGTAGGAACACTTGAGCTCGATGCTGATGATGTGGCTAATCGAGGACCACCTCTTTGCAACGATCTTTCGAAAGCCTGTTGAAACGCCGGCACACTGAACACCGGTCTTCGATCTGCCTCCTCCTGATCAGAGATTTCCTCTGGCTCAGACTGAGCAAATACCGTCTCAACCTCGCTCTCACTCTCTGGCTCCAATCCTGGTGCAAAACTCGCAAAATCTTTCAAGTTCGGCAGCACAACGAATTTGTCTTCCACCCAATTGTCCTGCAGGTGTTCCAAACGTTCGTCTATCTGTGCAATTCGGCTTGAATAGATCTGATGCGAGCTCGTGCCAACCACAAGATACTGAAGGATGAGAACAATCCTTTCTCTCAGAACCTGTAGAATGCCACGATGGATGCCTCTGGTAGTAGCTCTAGAAGCTCTACCACCCCGGCGCCTCGGCAAATTACGCTGAAACGCTGCAGTCAGCCCCTCTTCACGCCTAGTCCAAGGCGATCTGCTCCGAGATCTTCGAGAAGGTGGTGGACCGGGTGGGGAACGAGGTCTCCGATGCATCCAAGATCAAAGGGTAGCGTTGCTCTTGCGCCGCGGTGAAACTCTTGCAGGTAGCGGTGAAACAGTCTTGCAGATAGCTCGAACCGATTCAATCACCGAATGCAGAGAATTTCCCCTTTGCTGGTTTATGGATGTGATGAACACTTTAGTTCCTAGGATCTCTCAATTCCAATGC